ACAGCAAAGCAGGCCTGCGGGGAAGCGGCGGGCCCGACCTCACCCAGGCAACCGCAAATTCCCGATTCCAGCCACAGCCGCTCACCGCCCACCTTTGGGGTGTCTCAGGGGAGAGCCCCCCAAGGCAGGCATGCTGCAGTGGGTTCACATCCCAGAATTTCCTTCAGAACACGGCCCTGGTGTCCCCAGAGGACACGGTGGAGACCCCACCTGAGTGAATAAATACATAGGAGTGATAATCCTGACGTCACAGGTAGGATTAAACCCCGTGCCTGCGGAAGAGGGGGGCGGGGTAGTGGGGTGACATCACTCGGAGAGATTTGGGTGCAGCTGGCGCTGAGAGCCTCCTTCCTGCCTATGCCTGGGGGGAGCGGAGGGGAGGAGCCGGAGAGGTGACGCTGGCTTATCCTCTGCGGGCCTGGAAGTGAGAGAGGAGAGGCCTGACCCTGGTCCTGGTCCCCGGTCCCCATCCTGCCTGGGGCAGCCTGCAGCCCGGACCTGAGGACCCCACAGCGGCCAGGGAGCGCACAGGAGCCACCGAGGCCCCGAGTCAGGCGCCGTGGCGCTAATGCAGGTGGGGAAAGTGCTGTGGAAGTGGAGGCGCTTTCTAGAGCTGTTTCTGCAGGAGGTTCTTGCAGAGGTTCAGGTGCCCCAGGGCTTGGGGGCAGGGAAGACCACGGAAGGCGGGGCCCTAAGGATCAATCACAGCATCCAAACCAGAGAGAAGAGCTTCGGCACCCCCTCGCTCGTGCCCACAGTTAGAACCCGGCCCTGGGCTCACCAGGGAGCCTTAGTTAACGGGCCGAGTGATCTGTGCTCGCAGGTTGTCCTTGTGTATCCCGGGCGGCTTGTGGGGGGAGGAGGGAGGGAGCACTCCAGGAACTCCTACCAGTCACCGTTCAAGTTCATTCAAGAATAAGGTGACCAGACGTCCCGATTTTTAACCATTTGTCCCGCAGTGTTTTTAAAAAGCGGGACGTCTGGTCACCTTATTCAAGAAGGCTGGGAGGCAGCTAAGTGCCTAGAGTTGCGTTCACTGGCCAGGGGCTCACGTTCCCCCTCGAGTCAGCACAGGGGCAGCCTCTTCTGTTAGGGTCCAAGCACCCAGTCCTTCTGGCCACCTCCACCGTCTCACTGCACGTGAGCTACATCCCTCAGTCCCGTGGTCAGCAAACTGCGGCTCTCGAGCCACAAGCGGCTCTTTGGCCCCTTGAGTGTGGCTCTTCCACAAAATACCACGGCCTGGGCGAGTCTATTTTGAAGAAGTGGCGTCAGAAGAAGTTTAAGTTTAAAAATTTTGGCTCTCCAAAGAAATTTCAATCATTGTACTGTTGATGTTTGGCTCTGGTGACTAATGAGTTTGCCGACCATTGGCTCAGTTAATTGGCGTTCACAATATCCCAAGTATCTCCACTAATGATCTAGTTTCCACGTCAAAATTCTTCCTCATCTCCCTCTAAATCAGCGTTTCCCAAACTTCTCTCATGATGAGAATCACCTGGTGGAGTTGTTAAACTAGTTTCCTGAATCCCAACTAAGAGGTGCTAAACTAGAATTTTTGGGAACATATAGGTAAAATTGTACAATTTTAAAATTCTAGTTTAGCACTTCTTAGTTGGGATTCAGGAGTCTGTAGTTTAACAACTCCACCAGGTGGTTCTCATCATGAGAGAAGTTTGGGAAACACTGCTCTAAATGATGGCAAACGCATACAGAGTGAGTCCACCAGACGTCAAAGAACCAAAGGAGGGCAAGTACTCCTTCTGGAAGCAAAGCAGGAGAGGCAGGCAGAGGACGCTGCTCCACATGGGACCACGTCTCTGCCGTCCACTCAGTTCTCAGAGGGTCCTCCTTTCCCCACCCCCACCCCCATCAGAGAAAGTTCTTAAAAGCCCCTGATTGAAAACTCCCCCTTAGCCCAAACCGGGATTCCCAGGGCCGGCAAAGGGGAGCAGGTCAGACGCTCGCACTTGGCAGGATTCTGCCAGCAGGAGCCGGGCTCTGTGTTGTTTGGGCCGGGGTGGGGCGGTGCGTTTGTCCTACTGCTTATGCACCTCAAAAACACGTCCACTGAACGTCCTCGTTAACCAAAGGCTCCCAGGAAAAGCCACGCATCATGTCGAGTGTAGGCCCTCACCAAGCCTCCTCCTCTCACCATGTTTAATGGCCTGTATAACAAAGGCTTTCCTAAGCAGGTGTGGAAAAGAAAGAGAAAGCGGTGTGACTGCCATTGGACCTAGAGCGGAGTGCTTACCAGGTTTAAAAAGAGGAATTTTGCCGAAACCGGTTTGGCTCAGTGGATAGAGCTTCGGCCTGCGGACTGAAAGGTCCCGGGTTCGATTCTGGTCAAGGGCATGTACCTTGGTTGCGGGCATATCCCCAGTGGGGGGGTGTGCAAAAGGCAGCTAATCGATCATTCTCTCTCATCGATGTTTCTAACTCTCTATCCCTCTCTCTCTTCCTCTCTGTAAAAAATCAATAAAAAAATATTTTTTAAAAAAGAGGAATTCTACAAGATGATCTTCAATCGGTGTTTCCACTCCTTAACTTTCTCCAGAAGCAGGGCCTGAACACAAAATGGGACTAGCAGGTGAGTTTAGTTCTACAGGATTTCAGCGGCCTGAGCCGCTCTCTGCTCAGCACGCGGCATCTGTAAGTTCCGGGGGATAACTGGTGGCTGCCGAGTGTTTCCGAGGGGGGACGTGGCACTTTCGCCCTAACCCTTCCTGTAAAAGCAGCTCTGGGGGGCAGGGTGGTGAGAAACACCCGAAGAACAGCAACGCCTCTTTCCTGAAAGATCAGAATCAAGGGATTCCCTGCCTCACCCCCCGCCGCCAGACGGGTGGTTACCGATCCCTAAACTCGGAAGTCAGCTGTGAGGACTCTGGTCATGAATCAAGCCAGTGACGGGAAAGGGGACGGTCCCAGCTCCGGAAGGCCTCCAGAGGGCACTTTCCTGCCCCACCACCAGCTGGGCCCTGTCTCTACCAGTCCCCATCTGCATCTCAGAGATGCAACTCTGATGCCAGTCTGGGGTTCTACTCACCCCTGGTGCAAGCCCTTAGAAGCCCCGCTCCTGCCTCAGGGGGGCCCTGCACCCCAATCTCAACACCTTCTGCTTCACAGAAAAGAGCCCTGCACAGTGTCCACATCTTCATGTTTATTTCCATGGTGATAACATGGAACAGATTTAGCAACCACGGAGGGAAAAAGTCTCTCGTTGACTGCTGAGTTAAATCCCGTAACAATGATGCTCAACTGTCCCAAGTTTTCTGTTGACTTAACGTTTATTGAACCAAATGCTGAAGAAAATAGATCCCTCTATGTCTTAGAAATCGCGTTTGACAGTCTGTCTTGTAAAGTATTGATGGTGGGATTTGACTTCTGGTTCCAGGCCGGTGTGAGCAGTGCAGCCAGAGAAGCACCGGACCTAACAGTCCAAAGGACATGTTGTGGTACCATTTCATCCTGACCTCTCCCCAAAGGCAGAAACCACATCCCATGCTCCTATGCAACTTGTTATTTGGATGTTTTAAAATAAATGAATGAGAAGAGGCGGAAGCATAAAGAAAACCCAGCTTCCTTTGGCACAACGAGGAGATCTGGGAGGGAGGGAGAAGGCAACCTGTCTTCATCGGCTCCAGGTGTGGGTCACAGTCCCCTTAAGTACACCTGGAAGTGCTGTCAGTAATGAGCTCAAGGTACAGGCCCGAGTTTGTTATAAAAGCAGCTACACGTGATTAGAAACATACAAAGCGAAGCCAGTCGGTGGTGACCAGCTACAAGAATTGTGCTTACAGCTTTAGTGTGCCTCCTTGGCCAATTTCTCAGACACCAAAACCAGCTCCTGATGAATTATCAATATACAATCGAAACAAAATCTCGAAACACATACTTTTCTTTAGAAGAGGGAATAAAGGCACAGACACCAGCCAAAACAGGTTATTTCTGTAAGAATTGTATGGTTGATTAAAATAGCTTATCGCTAATAAAACTTGGATCACTAGAGCAGACAATACAAATTAGTTGTTTTAAAAAAATGTCATTCGATGAATTCCTGGTCTGTGCATTCAATGTGAATCATCAGAAATAGATGGCAATGAAAGGGTGGTAAGGAGTTCCACTGGAAGTTTCTATGCTAGGTCTCGTATTTCGGATGAGAAGTACCACAGTGAAGTCCTTTGGAGGCAGTGTATGGCGATCAGAGCTCTCTCCTCATTGTGCAGTGAGCAATGTCTGGGCGACTTACTCAGGACGGATACCTCTCTCCAAAGGCAGCAAACCCCACATCTAGAAAGGTCGATGAGCTGTATTCCACTTTAATAAATATTTCTGCATCTTTTCTTGTTTTCTGATTTTAAGCTCAGCTTAAGTTTTGTCAAGGAAACCATTTCACAAGAGGGTACATCACAATCTACTATCAGCAATAGTCCTTGTTTATTAGAATCTGAAGATGTTCATATTACATCAAATATAAATATATATTATATTTACATTTCCTTCTTAGCTTTCAATGTAGGTGAGTGTATTTATAGATAATGCCACATTGTCACCTTCAATCCTCAGCGCAGCGCCCATCCCCTCCGCCGGACCCCTAGAGGGTCACACAGCATCCCGAAAGGGGTGTACTGGTTCTTTTTTGTTCAGTAAAAGGAAAAAAAAATGAGTACCCGGAGATCTAAAAATGTTCTAGGAGGTTCTGCTTTGTTCCTAGGAGGTTTTAGTATTTCAAATACCTGAAAAACGTGGTCCCTTTGTGCAGTGCTATTCTCTACCCGGGGACAGGGAAGGACAATATGCAATTCGGAAAGGAAGAGCCCGAAGGAAAGAGAACCTGCTTGTTAGCACATTAATCTGTTTAGTAAAGATCTGTTTTAAAACGTCTGAACGCTGTACAGTATCATACAAAACGAGCTCCCGCCTGCAGAGCAGCTGGCACATTTTCCTGGAGGTCGGTCTGCCGGCCGAACAGTCTGCTGCCTGGCTGGCCTGGATCCCGGTCACTTCCGGTCATCGATAGTTTTAATGAATTCCACCGCTGCTGTGAACTGCATCCACCAGTAGGACTCCTCTCCGGACAGACAGCTGGCATAGAAGCTGCTGATGTACTGGACAGTGGACAGCAGACAGGGAGGGTTTGCCTAGAGACATAAGAAAGAATAGTCGACTGGTCAGATGTACAGCTCTGCGAAAATCTTTTAATATTCTCAAATGCTTGTCTCTGAAAGAGACACCAGTCCTTCTGAAAGCAACCCCTATGTTCCCTTTCTGGAACATTCTATAAAGCCTAGCCACGTGAGCAGCAACAGTGCACTGCAGAGGCGAGTGGGCCTAATCCGAGCTGAACTGCCCCGAGCTTTCTATGCCTGCGGGTCACTGAACCCCACTGACCCCGAGGAGGCTGAACCAGCCCAGTGGACCCACTCAATACCCCGGGCTTCCAGAGTGTTCGGAGGGAAATAAACGCTGCAGGCAAACTGAGTGATAACTGGGTGGGAAGTGCAGGTAGAAGCAGCTGAGAAAGAAAACACTAAGAAATAACATGCCCTCTGCTGCAAGAGGTAACACGGGACACCTGCCTTCCACCTTCACGTGGCGAGAAAGGACACGAGTGAGTGAGGTGGTTAGGAAACAAGCCAAGGCCTGCTCCTTAAAGCGACTGACACTGGCAGTCACAGTGGACGAGAGGAGAGCAGCGGCCACACAGGCTGATCCCGGGGTTTCTGCCTCAGAGGTGAGGTTGCAGAAGTACTGCACGCCTTAGGAATGAGTGAGATAGGAGTCAGCAAACCTTACACATCAACAGATGGGCAAGCTGACTGGAACACAGGAGTGAGGCACCCAAACCCCATGGCTCCCCCAAAACGTTCAAAATAACTTTTCAATGTGATTGTTTAGATGATGAAATTTCAATTTTAAGGACAAAATATGTCAGGGTTTTTTGTTGCTAATCCTCACCTGAGGATACTTTTTCCATTGATTTTAGAGAAAGTGGAAGGGAGAGGGAGAGAGACAGATCGACTGGTTGCTCCCACATGCCGGCCAGGCATCAAGCTTGCAACTGAGGTACCGGTATGTGCCTCTGACTGGAATCAAAGCCGGGCCCCTTCGGTCCACAGGCTGATGTTCTATCCACTGAGCCAAACCAGCTGGGGCTGTCGGGCTTTTTGAGATATGGTGCAATTACAGAATAAGAGGCCAAAGGAGGAGAGAGACGACTGGAAAGTTTAGTAGTTTGTGTGACAAGTACTATGAAGAACCCGGTGAAAGAAGATGCAAAAGCACCTTTTTCTTTCCCTCGTAGTCACACACTGAGCCCCAGCCAAGGGCCCTGCTTCCAAACGCTTCTAGAATCTGACCCTCCCGCCCTTCCTCCTGAAACCCTGACCCTGGACAGAACCACCCCTGCCGTCAGGCACGTCCTTTCTGGGCCCGGGGACACGCGGGCCACCCCGCTCGCTGCCAGCGAACTCGTCACAGGTGAACGCACCTTTATCAGCACGAACACCAGCACGGGGACGAAGTCGTCCGCCCCGGGGACCGAGTCCTCGTTGGCCAGGCTCAGCAGGTTCATGATGGTGGAGCACATCCGCAGGATGCACTGCACCTTGTCCCGTGGGGTCTTGTAAGCGCTGATGGTTCTGATCTCCGACTGCGCGGATGGCCACGGCGCCTCCCGAAGATAAACCTGAGCGAGACCACAGACGGGCGGGCGGGTTTTATTTAATCTGCCGGCAACCACTGATGGCGGCCACGGCACCCGCCCGTCAGGAGGCAGAGGGCACGTGTTGCTTTTCCCTCCTTCAGTAAAACAAGATCTCAGCTCCTTCACCTGCCACCGAAGACTGAAACTTAATTGTTAAATAATTTGCTTTGCATTTTAAAGTTAACAAACAAACAAACAAAAAAAACTTAGATATTCTCTATTGGAGGAAATGGCATACAATAACACAGAACCTAGAATTCATAAAATGCCCATCTTTCTTAAATAGCTAGGATGGAGCTTCTCTACTGTAGCAGCTGATTCTAAAAGCACAAACAAGCTACTTTTAAAAGAAAGCAATTTATAGATTAATGGGTCTTTGCTGCAGTAGTTTTAGAAATAAAGGATTAAAAAAAAAATCAAAGACAATTAAAAATGTTATGCTAATCGATGCTCCATTAGTGGAGATTTTAATAAAACAACCAGAAAGCTCACATACATGAAACTGCCTTGTTTTGTATGTATGGCAGGTAAAGACTCTCTCACCAATAACTAAAAGTTAAGTTGGCGTCATGTTCAGGTGCAACTAATCGCCCTGAGCAGTGGTTTCTGCAGCCGGAGGCCCTGATGGCCCTCCCCTCACCCAGGTCCCTTTCTCGCCAGGAATTTCAATCCCCAGAGGACCTTCGTGAAGTTCAGTCACGCTGAAGTTCCTCTAACGCACACAGTGCTACATATTTCATTATACTCTGTCTCCTTGGAAAGCTGGCAGCATGCACACGGCACAGAGCGCAGACCTAACTCCCCCCGCCCGTGCCATCCCCCTGGTTACCTCCGGGATCTGCAGCGCTCTGTGGTTGGCAGTCACCACTTTCGACAATCTCTGGATATGTTCATGGAGAACCCTGGAAACCCCCAAAGCAGATATGTAAATACGTGTCAGAAAGAAAGGCACACAGTGATAGCTGAGTCTTTAAAACTTTTGAACTGTTTTAGACTTATTTCTAGATATAGATTACAACTACAGTTGAGACCCTATAGGGTATAGGTATTCTGTAGGTATTCTGTCTTGTTAAAAGTCACATTTTTAACAGGACCTGCTCAGAAATGCAGAGTGAGCGAGGGGATGCAGTCAGAAGTCCTTCTTGCCCAGACTAGACCGCATTCAAGGAAGAGAGGAGTGCTCAGCCCACAGACTGCCTGACGCACTAATTAGCAGCCAGGCTACGCTAATTAGCAGCCAGGCTGTGACGAGGTAGAGGATCTAAGGCCAGAAGCCAAAGATGCTTCGATGGAGAAGGGTCTCAGCACACAATCTCTCATTTCACAGGGGAGAGTAATTCGGCTTAAACAGGCGGAGGTTGGAGTAAACCCGCTTCTCCGCAGCTGGTGTTCTTCCCAGGCCGTGAGCTCTCCCCGTTCCACCTGCAGAGATGCCGGGGAGAAGGCAGGCACCCCTGCTTCAAAGTGCTCTTTGCAGCCAACACAGTGTGGATGTCCCTACTCCTTGCCCCACGCTGGAAGCCACAGATGGTGCTCCGGAGAGAAAACAGTCCCACTCGGGGTATTGACAGGGGCTCGGGTGGGCTAACAGCCTCTGAGACTATGAACGAGTGAGAGGCAGGCTGGGGCGATCCTAAACCATTCAGAGGAAAGTGAACGCTCCCAAATATACATGCAATATCTTCCATATACTTCCAATATACTTCCAATAACTTCCATGAAAAAATAAAAACTTACAAAACCACCTATGCCTCCCCTTGAGATACTATTACATGCCCAGGTTGTGGGCTCGGTCCCCAGTAGGGGATGTGCTGGAGTCAGCTCCGATCAATGATTCTTTCTCATCTTTGATGTTTCAATCTCTTCCTCTCTTTTCCTCTCTGAAATCAATTTAAAAAAATTTTTTTAAATGGTCAAGAGATCCATTCTAAAAAAAAAGAAAAAAAAAGAAAAAGAAAAAGAAAATGCAGAAGAGGAAAGACAAAAATGCTAAATTCAGGCAAACAGCAGAAAGGCGGTGCACCTGCAGCCTGAGGCCCCACATCCCCGAAAACAGGGGACGGCGTTCTTGTCGCTGCTGTATCCTGACGGCTGGACAATGGTAACCACATGCAGTTCTGTGTTAGGTTCCGGTCTTACGTATAGCTCCTCTGACGTATGGGCTAGCTGACGTCCCCCTGCATGGTCCAACCCGGCACCACCCAGAGAGCACTCACTGGTCACGGAGAATGTCCCCATCCTGATTGGGGTAGAAAGCAAGCTTGAAGATGCGGTTCATCACGCTCCGCTCGATGGCCAGCTGCGCGTCCTGCAGCTGCTCCTCGCTCGCGTTCTGCCAGATGACGTCCTGGGCCATGGCGCCGTAGAGGAACTGCAGGAAGTCTTCTACCTGAGCAGTTTTATCATCAGCTGCTGTGAGTTTCTGAAAGTCTCCAATGCAAAATAATAAATTTAAGCATACACTAGCTGAATAATTTTAAAAAGGAAACTGTAGAAATCACTTTCATCACTAGCTATGTAGATACTGTGCTCTTAAAGCCAAAAGTGTGCCGGGACTGGTTTGGCTCAATGGATAGAGCGTCGGCTTGGGGACTGAAAGGTCCCGGGTTCGATCCCGGTCAAGGGCATGTACCCTGGTTGCGGGCATATCCCCAGTAGGGGGTGTGCAAGAGGCAGCTGATCGATGACTCTCTCTCATCGATGTTTCTAACTCTCTATCTCTCTCCCTTCCTCTCTGTACAAAATCAATAAAATATATTAAAAATAATAATTTAAAAAAAATAAAAAAATAAAGCCAAAAGTGTCAGGGCATGATTAATTTTAGGAGAGTATGTAGCCAAATCATTCAAGTCAGGAGAAAGGTAAGATATAAAAGTTTAAGAATAAGGAGTGTGTTATAAAAATTATATGCTTTTAAAAAAATAAAATAAAGAATTATATGCTTTGGTTTAAAAATGAGAAAAATTGTGTGGATCCAAAACTTTACCAATTGTATCCCTTTTTAAATAAACTACAGCTATTCAAACCAATAAAAATAAAATGTATTTATTAGGAACACATAAACTAACTGGGAACTTAAGGAACTGCTTTTGGACATGTATGTGTTCAAACAGACTAGCAAACAGAGATGGCCAATCTCCGGGCGCTGCGGCCGGAGAGCTGCCCAGTGTGACGGGTCGGTTACCTTGGATGAACTCCCTGATCTTCTTCTCCTTGCTCTCCAGCAGCAGCCGCACACAGACGGTGGTGAAGTACCGATTGGCCACCTCCTTGTCCCGCAGCACCCTCTGCAGCAGCCTCTCCAGGTGAGCCTGCGTGGTCTGCAGTCCTTGGCGACAGCGGGTGAGGTAAGCGATGTAGGGGGCCCTTTTCCTGAAAGGAAACACGCTTTGCAGGACACAGATATACACAGGGCACGCTCTCTTTGCAAACTGGGAGTCCTAGTTTTTCTTTAAAAAAAAAAAAAAAAAAAGGTGACTTCATAGGTTTTGGTTTTACACGTTAGCATGTCAGGCTGCAGACGACAGTCTGGAAGACCAATTATGCCGCCAGCTCGAGGACAGAGCTGCATGTCCATGAAGAACAGAGTCTCCTGGACTGAGCACTAGCTACCTAACTCACTGGCCACAGCGGGTCCCTCACATTGCTGGCCTATTTTATAGTGGTGCACGCTGGTAGGGCCTCGCCCTAACAGGAAATTGATTGCTAGAGAAAACGGAAATAAGAGCCAAATACAGGTTACTATACCACTAGGTCAGTATAGTAATGGGCAAACTCATTCATCAACAGAGCCAAATATCAGCAGTTCAATAATTGAAATTTCTTTTGAGAGCTGAAAACCGACGTCTGCACATGGGCCACGAAGTTTCAATCGCACTGTATGTTCGTGCCTGCACGTGGTATTTTGTGGAAGAGCCACACTCAAGGGGCCAAAGAGCCAACCACTGCACTAGGTCATCAAACATGCCACCAGTTACTGCAGACACTTTAAGTGTTACTATCTTAGAGCACCTGTGCCCTCAGCCTCAAAGCCCTCTTCACTTCCTAAGCGTCTAAATTACGTTTTCTCCTCAACTGTTAGCGAGGGGCTGGCCAGGGACAAAGGGGGCACTTTCCTGGGCCTGCTCCTGCCTCCCTGGTCCAAGGAAGCTGTCTTCCATCTCACCCCGACAAAGGGGAAATGATGCCCTCGTTACCCAGGCCCCATCTCTGCTAAAGTGCGATGCGGAAGTAGATGGTACTTGTCTGTCTGTAACACTACACAGCAGACTAAACAGCCCAATGTGTGCCTCAGGAATCTACAGAGCCAGGCACTTCCATGTAAGCCCAGGTTCGTTCCCAAGGTAAGGACGGGAAGATAATACTCGCTACTGAAACAAGGTCTAACGGGAAAGCTGCACGGTACCTGTAGTCCTCGGCGATGGAGGCCAGCAGTTTCCTGCAAGTCCTGTTATCAAAGCGGCACACACAACGCATAGTTTCCTGCAGTTGAGCCATTAAGTTCTTATCTTGTAAATTAATTGCTTCGGCTATTTGAACTTTTAAGAAGCATACAATTTCATTCTCTAAACAAAACAAAACAAAACAAAACAAGAATTCTGTTACTGCTGAGAAAACCCTCGTGCTTACCTAAGGGGTATGTCATCCCTCAGCCTTTGGGATGTTGATTCTGCTTTGGCAACGTGTCAGAGAACTAAGCTGGACTGCCACTCTCAAACACTGAACACTTAATGAACCAGCAGTAATCGAGTGCCGTTACTGATCCTAATATAAATCTAGTAAGTTAAACCATGGGGAATTGCTATAAAGCTTAAATACAGTTGAATACTGGCAATTTCATATGGTTTAACCTTCCACTACAAGAAAAAATAAATGGTCACAGAGCAAACTTACCTTCTGGGTCTGTGTGATCTGGCAAACCATTCCTTGTTGAATGGCTTAGCACTGGGAAAGCAACAGAGTCCGCAGAGCAGAGAGCAAGCCTCAGTTTCTTTTTTGCATCTCTGAAAAAATGAGTTGAAAATGCATTAATTTCTATATCCAGATAGGATCGCATTTTATGGACATTTGCTACGTAAATTAATATACTATCGCAGGAATCAAATGCTGTAAGTGGTCATAATCAAAGGAGATTTTAAACTTTCTGACACCGCACTTAAAGGAGCAGGCTTGCCAGTGACCCGAGGACGTAGAAGTGCTCTGGGCAAGATGTGCTCGGAGAGCAGGCACTGGGAATCAGAAAGGCGCATCTGGGAGACACACTCCAACTCAGAATGCCTCTCGACAAGTGTGACCTTGCTACTGGACAGCTCACACCTGGCAGGAAGCCCTTCCTTACTGCTCTGTTGCTGGAGTCAAAAGCTGCTCCTTTCAACTTCCAACCACTGCGGCGCCCACCACCACTGAGGGCAGAGCACCCCGCAGTAAGGGGGTGCCCCCCGCAGTGCAGCTCTCTGTTCACACCGAGAGATGCCACCAGCATGCCCTCCTCTGCGGTGGCTGTGGCCCTTTCTGACCCACAGGGCCTGGACCAGAGCTTCCTCAGAATGTCCGAAGCTGCCATCCACAGAAAGGAGCTGACACCCCGCAGCCAGCAGGCCACGCCCGCTCCTCCTGCAGGATCCCCGCTGTCCACCCACCGGCAGCTCCGGGTCTTTCCCTATTGGCTTCTTCCTATAAAATGAGTAACTTACAGAGTAAGCCTCCCAAATGTCATATTCACCCCCACTCTGCAGTCTCATAAAATAAATAATGGTACAGTCATGGATGGAACATAAAAATTATCTTCCACTCTCTCCAATTTTACTGTTTTACTAGGAAAAAAAATTACAAAGCTTCATAATGTTTAGAAATAAAAAGATGTATTAGGGTCTTCTTTAAACTAGTGGAGGGATGGGGGGAGGGATAAATGTGAAACAACACTGGCCGTGCATTAGTGACTGTGGCATCTGGGTGAGGAGGACAAACTGAGGGCCCCTCCGGTCTATGGGATGGCTGGTCCCAGCTCCCACAATCCTTCCTCCTCCCCAGCATTTCTCACGGGGGCGGGGGCTTTCCATGGGCAGAGGCTCTGCCACCGGTTTCATTTTAATGGCTTATGTGGTGCCTGTGAGCACACGAGGTGTGACATCCACACAGGAAGCCACGTCTTCTCGGGAAATAGCCATTTCATTCTTTTTTTTCTTTTCTTTCTTTCTTTCTTTTCTTTTTTTTAAATATATTTTATTGATTTTATACAGAGAGGAAGGGAGAGAGATAGAGAGTTAGAAACATCGATGAGAGAGAGTCATCGATCAGCTGCCTCTTCCACACCCCCTACTGGGGATGTGCCCGCAACCAAGGTACATGCCCTTGACTGGAATCGAACCTGGGACCCTTCAGTCCCCAAGCCGATGCTCTATCCATTGAGCCAAACCGGTCCCGGCCCATTTCATTCTTATCTCTCTGCTCTATACCTTTATTAAGTGACACAATGAGCCACGTGACTGAGGTGACTGCAGTGGTGATGAAAAGCCCACCCCAGCCCTCAGTCCCGCAGAAGGAGTACCTGTAAGAGTAGGCGGAGTCCTGAGGGTGGGCCGCTTGGCTCGCGGAGTCCGGGAGGTCGTCCGCGGAGATGTTTTGCAGAGCTTCGTCCCGAGGAGAATCGTGTGCACTTTCCCCGTCACCCACAACCTCTAAACAAAGCCCACCCCCGAGAGGATAATAAGCAGCTTAATCTGAAATGTTCTGGCACCAGAAGTCATTCTGAGCAACTCAGTGATAAGTTAGCATTGTGCTTTATACAACAAGGCATTTATGGCAATGATAATATATCAAGAGACCACTTTTTGACAAGAGAATGATTTTACTTCTTATTGCAATCCTAATTGAAAACAATGAAAGTCTTTATTTAATAATAGTAATCCTATATAATAAAAGCCTAATATGCCAAGTGTCTGGTCATCTGGTCAGCCATTCAACCAATCAAAGCGTGCCAATTTCACCTCTCCCCAGCCTTCCTCTTAGTCTCTCTTCTCCCAGAGCACATACAAGCATAAATACACGCAGCGTACAAGTTAAGCTTTATATGCGTCTGTTTCCTCTGCATTTATTGTGAGAATTCTATCATATTTTTCTGACAGCTATTCAGAAGTAGCACTATTAATTCAGATCGTCTTTATCACTGTGATACAAAGGTTACTATCCAAATCTTTACCACAATTATCACCTGCATTGTCATAGCTGCCCATTGCTCCTTCACTGGGGCTGGTTCGCTTAATGGCGTTCCTGTATTTGTCCAGAATGTCCTCAGCGGCCTGAACTTGTGCGCTGAGCCGAGGGCTGGAATCATCTGCAGGGAGAGGAGGGGGAGAGAATTAGCTCCCTTCAGTTTGCACCAACTCTGATGTTAGTACGACACCAGGAGCATAATCCCAAAGGCCGATTAGGAGGTGAGACTAAAAAGAGCACATATCTCAGTGTTAAGAGGCACCATGCAGCTGCCTACGCCTCCCAGTTCTGAGTCTGAGAGCCTTGCCAAAGCACGGAACTGGGAGAATTAAATCCACTTTCTCATCATCGCCAGAATTCCACATGACAGTGTCAAGAAGTTCAGTGCGGACTGAATGGATGATGGGTTTCTAAAGTGCTAACACTCAAACCACTGGTATTAGCAACTCATGCTAACAGAGCTTCCCACAATGCAATTTTATATGCAGACTTCATTTACTCAGACATCTCCATGCTGAAGGAACAAAGAAGTATTCAAACTGAGAATGAAAGCCTTTTAAGTAATAATAAAAGTTGCCTTCCTCCAGTCTTCCTGGATTTCTCTCTCTACACCAGATTTGAAAACTTCAGATTTTCATATGCTATCTCACTGGGTCTCACCATGACAGTGCAGCTGCTGGAACAGAGCACTTGTGTGCATGCAATGGAGTCAGAGGCACTCCCAGAGAACCTAGACATTGCTGGGGAGTGTTGGAATTGTACCTGGGGTGCACAGAGAAAAAGCTGATCACAATCACAGCACAGCACTGTTTACTGACAGGACTGCCATCCTGTCGGCAAAATCAGCACATAGCAATGTTTTCCTGCAGTCAAGGTAATTAACAGTTACCAACGCAAAGAACTGCTACAGATCTATGGGACACAGAAAGTTCCAGAGTGAAATGTAAACTCTAGGCCAACCAGGTGTCCATATTCTGGTAGAATCCCATTTTTAAAAAAGTCTAAAATCATGTGAAAGTCAATAGAATTTATATATGTGTGTGTTAATAGCAGCTACCATTTATTGAGCACTGACCACATGCCAGGAACTGTGCTAAGCACCTTATATGAGCAATCTCAATCATCACAATTACTCCTTAGGGGGGTACTACTATCACCCCATTTTACAGAAAAGGAAATCGAGGTATAGAGAGGTTAAGTTCTTATGCTCATAGGCTCTTCTTTTTTTTTTTTCTCCCATGAAAATAATATTTTGTATTTCTGTCTCCGTAAAATTGTAAAGAGAGGATTTCCAAAGTAATGTACGTAATCTTTCTGCTATAATGACATCTGAATGCCAGATCAGGATCATAATCTGATCTTCAAAATGTAAACTGAAAAATCTTTATTGTGCCGAAACCGGTTTGGCTCAGTGGATAGAGCATCGGCCTGTGGACTGAAAGGTCCCGGGTTCGATTCCAGTCAAGGGCATATACCTTGGTTGCAGGCACATCTCCAGTAGGGGGTGTGCAAGAGGCAGCTAATCGATCTCTCTCTCTCATCGATGTTTCTAACTTTCTATCCCTCTCTCTCTTCCTCTTGTGAAAAATCAATAAAATAAAAAAATTTTTTTAAAAGAAAAATCTTTATTGTTACAAAATCGTTTTGTGGAGAGTGAGTAGTTTTTGCTATTGTTTTTCAGTGCTGTAGAGACGCTTCTGAAAAAGGGACAACAGAATTGGGCTAACTATAGTGAAGCCATAATGTAGCTTATAGACTTTATTTCTATAGTGCCATTCTTAAAACTTTTATCCATAGAAAATAATGAAAACAAACAAGAAATGCTACATATATGAAGCTGTGAGCAGTATTTTTATAGTAAAAGTTGGGTACAACTTAAATATCAAAAGTAAGAGAATGTTCACACTGCAGTGAAATCAGATGATAGATTATCTTAGAGTCAATAAAAACTACTAAAAACAATCACTGTCTAGTAGAAACTGGGAGAGGGTTTATGAAATAACATGTGTTAAAAGAATACAGTTACATACATTATCTGATTAAATCATGAAAAGCCATGTACAAACACAAAAACATGAAGGAAAAAAAACCCACAAGCATAGTTAGGATGGTGGTATTATGGACAGACTGTTAAGAAATTTCCTTTCATAGCATTTTAAAATGGATTTAATAATTTCCAATAGGTCATTAGTTAGGATTGGGTAGAAGTTTTTGCACAGTAGAAAAGTTAAATGGCTTAAATTGAACACAAAGAAAATGAAATACTTTTTTAAAAAATTTTATTGTACTAAAAAAAAGAATTTATTGTATTCTACCTAGCTTCCAGTTTAAGAACCTAGAACCAAGAAAAATATATTGCCCAAAGTCAAGTAAAAAATAATTTCTAACTTCTCCAAAATTATCAATTCAACATTGTAAAAACACGAGATTTCATGAAGAGATTTCACTCTGCAAACATGAGCAATCTCATGGTCTCCCAACACTAGGAAAATGGCCAAGAAACACATCTTGCCCAAAAGAATCCTTTCCGACGTGTCTCAGTCAGACAGTGGGTTCCTGAAGAACAGGGGTCATGTGTGAATTGACTTCCTTCCCACACCACTTAGCACAGTGTCCGGCATGAGTCAGATGTTCAACAGGGATTGGCTGACTGAATAAGAGGGGCTTGACTGCTCTCGGCAGGGACGGTGACCTGGAAGCACAGCGCCTGCTGTTCAAAACCCTTTATCCAGGAAAGTCATGCATCCAAGCAGGGATGTGTGCTAGGCCAAGGAATGACATCTAAACTCAACAGAACTAGACATTAGAATGCCATGCATTACAATGGGATTCTACCTGTACTATGCTGAGCTTTGAGGAGGATGTTCTTTTGAAACCTATCCCATTTCTAATAAAACTCTTCATTTTAACTTAGAATGCAATTTCAAGTCAAGATAAGAAAAAAAGAGGTGAGAAATGAATTTCCCTGTAGATAATTTACAGTACACAGCTATCAAATTCATGGCTGAGTCCTTAACGCTACTTTTCATACTCTTTCCTTTCATGGTGCTCAATCATAATGTGCCAAGAACAAGCTGTAAAAATATAAATGCTGAATAAGGTAAGAACCCAACCCCTAGTTGTATTTTCTTTGGGTTAGAGAGCAATGGTAAACTGATTCAAGCTGTAAACATTGGTAAAGTTTATAAATTTATTATATTGTTTGAACAAACACCTTATCATGAAAAAAGGAAATGATTAGGTAAAACAGAATTTCACTATGATCCTGAATAATCAAGAGCTACAGATAAAAATAAATTTAGAGTTCCACGATCAACGTTAGCGAAAATTATTCAATCAATGATCCAAAGATATGGCATGCACAGAGCTAAAATCATCACCACACTTTCCTAAAAGGCATTATGTGGCATCATCCCACTAAGATGTGGAATTGTAGGGTGTGTCTAGAGGCCTTATCATAAATGGAAGTTATGATGATGAGGATGATGATGGTGGTGGCAGGGCTACAGGAAGAGCACACAGATTCACTGTGGCCGCCAACTGGGAACCACAGAGCTATGAAGAACATACTCCCCACTGTACACACACAGACACACTCATCTAAGAAGGCAACGCTTATGGCACCCAAGAAAAAGTGTCATGAAATATGTGCTCTGGGAATGAAGGAGCCAGGAAGTCCATGGGTCTACAAACCTGTGAGTGTTGAGAATCTGTCAGGCCCCAGATCATCTTTGTCTTTTTCTTGTTTTTCTTTCTTTCTAAATGGTATGGGAGCTGGAAATTAAATAAAGTCAGTAGTGTGACATACAACATACTGCACTACTCGGCAGACAGCAGTCATTCTGGAGTTAACTGGTGTGCCAACATTTCTAAGTGAAAGGAAGGTGAGAAGTTTAAAAGCTAAGAAATCCCAAGTGTCAATTGATAATGGTTCTTAAAATAGCATTGAAGATTCTTAGAGAAGCGTTCAGAGTCGTTGGCCTCAGGAAGAATGATTTAACGGGAATCTATTGGGACTAAATCAAAACCATTGCCTCTTAACATCCGCTCAGAAACAACACATTCAAAGCTCTGAGCCACGCTCTCCTCGTCCTCAAGTGGCCGGAGTCGGGCGAAGGCGGTGAGCGCCGCGGGGCTGAGAAGAGGCCCTCGGAAGAAGTCCCTAACTCCCATCCTGGATGATCTCTCCTTTCAGGAAGAGATGCTTTTGCAAACTCAAGTCTCAGTGTCTACTAGCATGATGCCAGGCTATTCACAAAAGAAGCGAACAATTTTATACAACTGCCTTCCAAAATAAACACTCACTAATGTTCAGGGTATAAGCAATCTCAAAGCACATAAACATTAAAAACTTAAGTTTATTCCAGGAATGCAAAGGATGAATTTCAAATTTTCAGTTTAATGACTGATAGCATCCTCTTTTCCTGCAATAATTACTGGCAATGCATATGTCAAAAATCCTACATGTCTAACATCAGGGTACATGATATTTAAACAACCACTTGCATGACTTCCATTTATGAAACCACTACCACTTCCTGCCAAGAATAAGCTAAAGCTCCGCCTTAGCATCCACCTGCGCCGAAACAGCTGGAAACAAGCCCAGCAAACCTCAGGGAGAGAGGAGCCGAGATGCGGGCTCGGAGAGAGATTTCGGGGCTTTGCTTCTGGTTGCTCATATGGCGTTCTAATATTTTATAAAATTACCTTTAGGCATGGCAGAAACAAAACGCTTTCTCCACCAAGGTCTGTTCCTGTCTGATTTCTCATCATCGCTATCTTTGCGTTCTTCAGTCTGTAGGAAAAGTTTGATGATTTATTTGGAGTTGGGGAGCAGGCAAATTACTACGAAAAGGATTTCAGTTAGTCTGTGAAATACAAATACCCCTGAGGTCTGTCTTAAAAGCAAAACTGTTCTTATTGCTGTAGAGCAGTGGTTCTCAACCTTTCTAATGCCATGACCCTTTAATACAGTTCCTCATGTTGTGGTGATCCCCAACCATAAAATTATTTTTGTTGCTACTTTATAACTGTAATTTTGCTACTGTTATGAATTGCAATGTAAATATCTGTGTTTTCCGATGGTCTAAGGCGACCCTGCTAGTGGTTCTCAATCTGTGGGTTGCAAATAATTTTATGGGGAGCGGGCCTAAGCCAGCAGTTGGACATCCCCTAGGGCGCCTGGACTGTGTGAGAGCACAGGCCAGGCTGAGGGTCCCCTGCAAATGCATGAATTTTGTGCACCAGGCCTCTAGTTAAGTAATAAAACCCAGTCTGTACTGTGTGCCAAAAACTGAGTATAAGGATATATGTTATCTCATTTAAACCTCACAGTAGCCTTAGAATATAAATACTATTATCAAGCCCTTTCTGTTGATGAGAAATATGAGGCTAAAAAAGATTATTACTCATCTTCACCAAAGTTATACAGCCTGTTGTGGCACAGCTGGGACTCAAGCCTAGATTCCAACCAACTTCAAAGTTCATGTTTTGATCATCAGTTATATTCAGTTATCATTAAGACCACGTATCAGCTGAGAACGGTTTGGCTCAGTGGATAGAGCACAGATCTGTGGCTGAAAGGTCCCAGAGTTCGATTCCAGTCAAGGGCATGTACATTGATTGCGGCCACATCCCCGGTAAGGGGGTGTGCAGGAGGCAGCTGGTTGATGTTTCTCTCTCATCGATGTTTCTGGCTCTCTATCCCTCTCCCTTCCTCTTTGTAAAAAATCAATAAAATATATATTTTTTTAAAGAATTAAAAAAAAAAAAAAAAAGACCACATATCAGAAGACCTTACACAAATCATTTAATATCTGTTACTTCACCTACAAAACTGGAACTAAAAATATTTTCTCTAAGGGCATCTTGTAGATGAAGTGTCAGAACCCAAGGAGACAGATGAGGGCATCTGTGGGGGACAGTTTAGCAGCGGGGATGGGACATTGATTACATACATGAAGACTGACCAAGTAAGTATATGCATAAAGAATAATGAAAACGGATTTCTATTGCAGAAGGGAGTTACAAATATAGGAAGGGAGAAAGATGAAATAAACTGTTGTTTTTAGAGTAGAATGAAATATATAGGTGTAAGTTCATAGTTCTCTAAATATAAAGAGAAAGATACACATAGAAATAAATACACATGTAAATGTGTGCATGTACATGAATATTCACACACACTCTCTCCCCATGGCTTTGTCTACTGTGAGGTCCTGGGAGTAGCAGCACTCCTACAGCAAAGAGCACACCTAGTATCCAGATCTCCTTTTCTAAAAACCATTTTCTACTAAAAGGAACAAGGGTTCCTTGGAGAAACGGCTGATCAGGTTTAGGACACAGTACAATATAAGTTTATAACATTTTGTGCCAAAAGGAAAGAAATACTCAAAGAATGATGGCAGCATATCAAAAGAACCTCCGACAGCTTGAAGGGCTTCCACCGAACAATTCGAGGACAAAAATATTGATAGCAACAAAGCCATTGACTAAAACAGAAAACATGAGACCATCAATATAATTAATAAGTAAATTAAAACTTTGATGAAAAATAATGCCTCATTGAAAAATATAATAGCTAACCATCTCAGAAGGAAATTAGAGGTTTAAATTAAATTTGATATAAAATGATTTGGAAAAAATTAAAACTATCATAAAAATGCAAGATACAACACTACAAAAACAAAGTACTGGAGGTTTCCTACGGATTAGGTTGTGATATACTTGACAAATCATCTTTAACACGTTAAGCACCCAGTTACCGGTGACTGACACTATACTTTCCACGGAAGACTGGGCGCTTAACATGTTAATGATGACTACTGTCCATTCTTAACCCTAGATGTATACATTTCCGATACTAAGAGAACTAGGCAGACAGACACTGAAGCTGACCACGTCAGCAAGTTCTCCGTGGCCTGTGTCCCATACCTCTCCTCTGGAGGAGTCCTTACTCGGGGATGAAGATGACGAATGAGGTGCAGCCACCAAGGAGGTAGCACCAATGGCTGCAGCTGCAGGGAGCTCTCGCTCTTCATTCCCTGGGCGGCGGTTCCAGCTGGGGTCACTCATGGGCCTCCGGGCCGAAGACACTATGTCCGAGCTCCTGCTGCGAACTAATCTCTCGGGGTAAGAATGCCGCTGCTTGAATGCCTCCATTTCGGCGGGAGTTAAACCATGGGAACCAAAATTTGGCGGCCTGGCCTCATTTCCTCCCACAGCCCCTTCCAGGATCGGAGGATCTGGTGGTGGATGCGAAGGCCTGGCATAGTGGACTTTTGGCCTTACCACAGCAGAAGCCCCTGGAACACAGGGGGAAGGTTGCAACTGAAACACAACTGATCTGACCACGGCATTATCAACAATGGGCTTGGCTGCCTGCTTCTGACCCTGACGAGAGTCAGAAAGCTCACTTGATGATCATTTCACAATATATACAAATACCGAGTCATTACGTTGTACCCTTGAAACGAATATAATGCTATGTCAATTACATCTCAATTTTTAAAAAGTTCACCTGGCTGGTTTACCTTCATGTGAAGACAGTGGGTCAAACATGGCGAGCAGAGACTCTGACTGAGAAGGGGGAGAGGTCATGTGGTGGGCGCCTAAAACAGACAAAACAGTGAGACCGCGTCAGACCAGCACTCAGTGAGAGTTTCAACAGTGAAAGTGGTTTTGACATTTTCCACACTTTTCAAACTTTTTTCATCGATTAGAGCTTGAGCAGCATATAAGGAAAAAAGAAGAACCTAATAAGATCAAATTTTGATTACTCCAAATTCATTTTATGTTTTTTCTACATATATGGGTTTTAATTACATTTAAGTGATCTATCATCTATCTGCCTGCTACTTTTGATGGCCAAATTATATCATAGTTAATGCAAAGATCACAGAGGCAGATGTAAATCTTCAAAATTTTCAGAATGTCACAACTACCCTGAGCCTCAGCTTCCGCCTATACAAAGAGGGGCAACACTACCTAGAAGGAGTATAATAAAAAGTTGGAAAATTTGAAATTCTAATACTGCTCTCAGCAAATGACAATTTATTAAATAACTCATATTAATATGAATACTACTGCCTGGCTTGATGGGTCGGTGGTTGAGCATTGATTTATTATATAAACCAGGAGGTCACGATTCGATTCCCAGTCATGGTACAAGCCTGGGTTTCGGGCTCAATCCCCAATGTAAAAATAACTACATAAATTCTAATAAGTAGTTATATCAAAATTCATTTAGCCATTCTGGTGTTTAATGATTAGGTTATTTCTAAATTCTTTGCAAATATTAATGTTATGAAGAACATGTCTATGCATAAGACATTCTCCATACATGGAACTATTTCCTTATGACTGATTCCTAAAGTGGACCAAATCTGGTATGTGAACTGTAAGGCCTTACATTCGTATTGCCAAATTATGCCCCAAAGTGTTATAACAGTTGATACCATCGCCAGCAATGTGTAAGATTGCCAGTTTCACCATTAATGTGGCTGTTTAAAAAGTCATCTCATTTTCCCTTCTTACCATGAGTCACTTCATCCATGTCTGGACTAGTGACAGAGTCTTTACCCCCAAAGTCAGAGCTGCACTCAGATCTCAGGTCTTCAATCTTATTGGGAATATCCTCAGAGGTGGCACTTATGCCTTTAAAAAAGAAAGCAAAAAATAAACAGCAAGAAGAATAAAACAACCACACAAAAAGTACATGAGATTTGGAGAAATATAAATATTCTCAAATTTTTGTGCCCTAGTTCTAACCATGTGAGTTATTGCTTAAATACATTGGCCTGGACTTGTGCGACATAACCAGAACTACCATGTGCTATCTAAACACAGGAACGGAGCTAGCAAGAACAGACAGAGCAGTAGAGGGAACACATCCAGACTGACTGCCGGTTACTTCAACAAGCTCTATAAAGCTACACATTACATTCTCAGATTTAAGGGCCCATAGGAATAATTTTGTTTCCGGAAAATTACTCAGTTCTTAAATAAAACCTATCTCTTTGCTATCAACTTTCTAAGTGGAGATGTGGGAACACACCTTGAGATCCTTAGTCCTTAAAACAAGACAGACATACCCGACACAACACTGAGGCCTGGTGTGCTGGGGCGGGAACTGACCTCCCTGACATCCGTATCATCAGATGTGCTACCCAGTCCCGAACAGCTCTCCAATTCCTGCAGGCGCTCCTCCTGCTTTAGATCTGGGGCCTCTAAACAGAAGACGTGAGGTGTCACATTAGTGATCGTTAGCATGTTTTAGCTGGTGACCCAGATGATGAAAGCTACCAGGGCATGTATGAAACCAGTGTAAATAGATTTCTAAGTCTGGGCCAGTTAGCAAAGTTAGTTAGATCAAGTGTTAAGAAAGTCAAGGTTGTTATTTTCATCCCTAATCTAGGCCAGTTAGTTGTGCAAAAATGAAAACTTCTCCCAAGTCACTAATCTCATAGTATGTGTTTTTGGTTAGCAAGTCAACTGAACAAGAGAATATGAAATAACCTAGCATTAAATCAACCGCTTTCTAAAAAAACAACTCCTATGGATGCTCAACAGATAGTGAGCCAATCCTACTGGCTCCTTATATAAGGTTAGCATGTCTGAGTATGTTAATGTTATTCTACACATATAGGGCCACTTTATTATTCCTAAGCCAAGCAGATCAGACAGAATGTAATTCAGACATAGTTATTTATATCTGCATTATCATAGTTGACATTTAGTTGAAGGCAAAGATTTATCTTCATAATCAGGGGGAAAGTAGAAATGCAATACATAAGAAAACACGAAGTACAAAACACTTCATATACATTTATAATAATTCTGCACAAAATAAATTTGCAGTACTCCAGAGTCTGAATTTCAGCACATTTAAAAAATACATTACATGGGGAGAACTTGACCTTTTTAAAAGGGTCAAGTTCTCCCCATGTAAATCTAAACATGCTTACCAGGTATCCAACCACTCAGGGTTCCTATTTTGTGATGAGTTCATAGGCGAGGCTGGACTCAATCCACACAGAACCCTGATGAGTTACTAACAGTTGCTTCCAAAAGAACTGAACAGTCAGAAAGCACCTGCCATCTTGGCCCAGGCCATTCAAAACTGCATGTTCTCTTGATGAAAGAAAATGCCTTATACTAATTTTCCATGTGAAACTCTTAGCAATTGCATTGCCTCATACTTGTCAAATGTATATCTGACAAAATGTCCATATACAGAAATTAGAATACCTTATATTTAAAACGTCTGTGCAAATCAAAATGCAAATGACACATACTAACCTGAGTCACTTGGCAAAACCTCTACACTCCAAGCTTCGCTTGTTGTCTCTGATATGGTAGAACCAGTGCAGGGGTCAAGAAGCACTGACCCTGACCCTGGCAGGCACAGTAAACTGCCTAACATGTTCTCTGCTGCTGCACCTGTTAACCAGTGGGGAGCAAAGGGTTAACAAAGGTCCTGATGGAGAGCGCGGTGATAACGGAGAAAAGCCAAACACTAACCCTCAGCAAACCTCTCTACTCCAGCCACAAGAAAGGAGCCAAGGGAAGAGCCATTTCAATCGATAACACCACTAAAAACCACATTTCCCACTGCGGTCACAGTGACACCAGCTCTTTGTCATCCTCTGCCTCCTGTGCACCTTGTTGGATCAAGTCGTTTCAACTAGCTTTCACCTTGGTTTTTCAGCAGATTTTATGTGTGTTCCTAATAACTCCCTCAAATTTATAGTCCTACAAGGATTAAAGCCACTCAGAGACATTTAACCGCATCAAGTTGCACTGGCCGAAGTATGTTCTCTTCTGGCACATTAGCCACATATTCAGAGCAATAAAATGTATTTGCAGGAAAACACACTACACCTCCAGAGTGCTTATTTAACTGCAAATACAGCTTATTGCTGAAATACAGCTTACTGCCAGAAAAAAATACTAAATACTTAGCATCTGGAACAAACTAATATAGAAACCAATTAAGAAATCTATTTACACTACTTAAAAATACATACAGGATTAAACATTACTGTACACCTGTATTAAGAATACTAAAGTTCTGCCCTGGCTGGCAGATATTTTTTTTTAATTTATCTTTATTGTTGAAAGTATTATAAATGTCCCCTTTCCCCCTCCCTCCGTTAACTCCCTCCGCCTGCCCCTACCCCCATGATGTAATTATAATTATAAATATAATGTCTGAACATAATGGGGGAGGGCATAAAGGGCAGTGGGTGGGAGAGGAGATGAAACAAACTAGCCATGTGTATGAGTAACTGTCGGAGCTGAGTGATGGGTACACAAAGTTTTAACACTATTCTCTCTTGTACTTGTTTGAAATGATTTTTAAACAAATGAAGAAGATGGTTACAAGACCACATGAATCTTTCAGAAATCACAGAAGGGTGAATTTTAATGTTTGTAAACTGTGCATCAATAAACTTAATGAAAAAAAAGAAAAAGACAAAACTAGTTACTTTTTGGAACTGTATTAATCCTTCCAAAAGTAAACTCAACTTTCAGACTCTCAGTATCGTATTATTCCGAAAGATTTTATGGCTATAGTCTGTCAGAATTTTCATTTTAAGGTAGGTGTTCAGTCTCTAAAGAACGTCCTAATTATAGACTACGAATATATATTATGCTCTACAAACAAGACTAGACGAGAAGCTAATTCAAAAGACTGGTTTTTCTCTTTTGGGGGTTGGGGGTGAAGTTAAATGTAGACAGAAAAAAACATACCTATATTTAAGTAAAGAAAAAAATACACGAATGCCTGGCTATAGGCAGCTGTCTCGGTTTCCCAGTTAGGGCTAACCCACACACCACGTTTGTCAGAGCACTGTAGCTCCCTCCCACGAAGGGTGGCGGACGTGATAACTAAACAGCAATATTCCAGAGACATTCAATAGGAATTACCTGCAATTTCTTGCAAACGATCTTCGTCAATGTTAGGGTCAAAATCACTTCCCAAGACATCTGTGCTCCAGGTCTCACTCACTGTTTCCGATATGTCCCTGTCATCCGTCAGTCCCATCATGTCCCGGATTTCGAACTTCCTCAGCTTGTCATCAAGATTATCCTGTGTGGTGGCTATCGGAAACAAAATTAAGCACTTAAAAAGTGGTAGCACAGCTGTTATTTCTTAATCAAATTTAAAGAACTTTACGCCTTCGAACTTCATTTTGCATATTTTATAATTAACACAGGGTACATAGTACCAAAAAAACACTGAATTATTCCCCCCTGGATGTAGGCTTTCCCTGGGTGAACTGAGCCCAGTATATGTATTCCTCCTCTGGTAGATTAGCTGGGACCATCGATACAATGGTCTCCCTGTATCCTCAGCCTTTGTGGTGTGACTTCCATCAAGAATCAGGATACATTCCCCTCTCTCTGGATTTGCAGAGGCCTTGCTACTTGCATTGGTCAAAGGATATGGAGGAAATGTGTCATCAGCTGTGAGGCTAGGCCTCAATCACCGTTAGAAGCTTCTGCCCTCTCACCCTGCTTCCCTCGTGAGAACACACTTAAGCTACCAGTTGGAGGATGAGGCCACATTGGAGCAATGCAATGGTCAGACTAGACCAGCCAGCTCCCCTGACCCCCAGCGCAGATTGGCAGAGCTCCCTACTCGTCACTGGTGACTGCAGATGCATGAGTAAGCTCAGTCCAAAGCAGAACCATAGGCACAAATTCTATGTAATTCAAGTCTGAAGAATTCACTTACCAACTAACCACATCTTTAAGAACTGAAGGGACCATCAGTCAGTGCAAGTTTAATGCTCATTATATAATCAAATGTATTCTTACAAAATAGATACAGGGCAAAGAAGCATTGAACAGACTGTCAAACTACAGCAGGAAGGCAGGAGAGGTTGGGGGGGAGGAAGGCTGTAAAAGATCAACCGAAGGACTTGTACGCATGCATATACTAAGTATAACCAATGGTTACAAGACACTGGGGGGGGGGGGCGCAAAGGGCGGATGAGGGCATGTACCGGGGGGGTAGGGGAGGCTGGTGGGAGGTCAATGGGGGAAAAGGAGACATATGTACTACTATTTGTAAGACTTCAAACAATTTTAAAAAAAAAAGTATTCTTATTGCAACAGCCAACTTACATGGCAGCACATCATTCACCTTAGAACCAGGGGAGTTCTTGCCACGTGAGCAGCTGTCCCCTCCAGCTTACCTTGCTCATGCTCCAGCAGCTGCAGAGCATCAGCCCCGTTACTTCCCGAAGGTCCTGCTCCCAGTTCTGACACAGACTCTCCTTCCAGGTCAAGAGAGGACACTGAATTGGAGCGATTGGAAGGACCTAGAGAAATGTTTCTACTGTAAGTGGAAATGTAATTTTTCATGCCTTGATAAGGCACCACATTAAAGACTACAGTGCTTTTAGTAGTGTAGTTATACCTTAAAATATATATATATATATATATATATATATATATATATATATATATATATATATATGCGCCCTTTAGGCCAGTAATTCAGCCTCTTGAGAATTATCCTAAGGAAGTGTTCAAAAACTCATCTAAGGTTACTTATTTCAGGGCTTCTTATAAGTGGAAAGCAGAAGCAAACTACATGTTTAATCATAGAATAATGTTTAAATAAACTATGAAAGAAAACAGCCATTAAACACCATGTCATTTAATAATGTTAATCATCAAGGGAAATGTTACTGTTATATTGTTAAGCAAAAAAACAAACAAAAAAAAAAGGTTACAAAAAGCACAACCTTAATCTTGCTACAAGTGAATTAAAATGTTAACTGTTATTAACAGAATGATGAGATTACAATGATTCCATTCCTTTTCAGCATTTTCTAGAATGAAACTGTTACTTATGCTTTGAAAAATTAGAGGAAAGAAAAAGTTACTATATTTTACGCTTATTTCAAAATGTTAGTAAAGTTGAACTTATTCATTAAAAAATGTGCTCTTGCCCTGGCCGGTTTTCTCAGTGGTTAGGGTGTTGGCCCCAGACTGAAGGATCTCGGATTTGATTCCAGTCAGGGACACCATCCTGGTTGCAAGCTTGGTCCAGGCTCAATTCCTGGGCCCCAGGCGAGGTGCATGCAAGAGGCAACCAATGGATGCTTCTCTCTGTCTCCTCTCCCTCTCCCTTCCACTCTCTCTAAAAATCAATGGGTGGAAAAATGTCCTCAGGTAAGGATTAACAAAAAACAAAAAGTTGATCCTAGCATACGGAATGACATAGTCTTACTTCCTAATCTTGCCATTAAATTTCTTTTTCATTCCTGTTTTCATTTTATCTGACTGCATCATAAGAGGTGTGAGTGTGTGAATATGCAGAACGTTAGAAGTGCACACAGCATCCTGGAACACCAGTGAGTCCATTCCTTCCCAATCAGACATGCATCGCATCCCTCTAAAGGAGCTCCCATCGCTTTGGAATGTATCAGCGTCAGAAAAACAAAGCTTGGCATCATTCAAGTCTCAGTGAAGGCTCAGCCCTTCTCCATTTTTTATGACCACAGATCTCTAGCAATCTTTTTCTAACAATTTTTTTCTTGCGATCTTAATTTTATTCCAGAAAGAATCTTATAGCCAACTGTTCAAGACCATTAGAGGAAAACTTCATTAGCCTCCTCCGTCAGGGGCACAGATGGTTTAATTATAATTTATAAGGCTCCTTTAAAGAACACAAAACAAGACATTACTTGAATCACACAACTCCTTGAATGAAGTAACCCTTCACCTTCAGATATTCCTTCCAGATTATCACTGCAGAGGGAAAAGCGCAAGGTTTTATCAGGTTTACCGTGGAGTTTGTTTTCATCAACAGGGACATCTCCTTGTCCTCCATCCGAAAGTTGCATGTTTAGGACCTGGAAAGATAAAATGCCATGGGTTTGCCACAACTGAGAGAAAACAAACTACAGCAAATGCATATTTAAGTTACTTTTAACCTTAAATTATTTTTATTTAAAACCAATCTACAAGGTTCTGATCAAGCTTGAAGAACCGCTAGAAGAACAGTGTAAGTATCAGTGAGAAGAACTGAAGCTGTGCCCTTCCATCACTCTACGGTGCCAGAGTTTGAACAGGCCGAGAGAGGGAAATGGAGGAAAACACTGTGTTTTCAAAAATGGAAAGAGAACTAGTGTTTTCCTGAAATATATTAACCTCTTTCCAAAGACAGTGTAACTAAAAGAAGGGACCATTTCCCTGTGGAGGGATACGAACTGAGGTCTTCAAAGCTGCCACTAAACTGAGGGTTGGGACAAGTAACATGGTAAGGTAAATGCACAGAACACGCTGAGTGACATTCAGCTGGTTTTTGTTTTGTTTTTTTTCCATATTAAGCATTCCGTGGTTGTTATGTTTTTTTATTACATTCCAGGCTTCCCAAAACATTGATTCTTTGTGTGTGTACGTGTGCTTGTGTGTGTGTGTGTGTGTAGGGACAGAGTTTGGGACTTTGATAGTTCTCTTTCCTATGAGTGATGTCACAATTCCAAACAAAGCCAACGACCACCATCACTTTAACAACCCTGTAACTGGTTCCTTATTCCAGGCAAGGACCAGTTTTCTTGCGTAGGAAGCACTCACTTTTGGATAATACATTGCAATAGAGGAGGAGGGGCTTCCATCTTTAGAGAGGCAAGACTTCTTCTTTCCCTTTGCCCCGTCCCAAGTTCTCGTTTTCAAACATCTCAAAACTTATTTTCATACCCTCAATCCCATTTCTTCAAAATATTTTACACTTTCCGTTTTTGTTTTATTTCCACAGTTATCGCTTCCATGTCTTCCTAACTAGCCAAAGAATGTTTGGCTCTTTAAAGCAGAAATACCACTGGAATGTCATTAAATAAAAATTAATTATAAATCACTTCCTACAAGTCATTGGGAAAGTCTCTTCAATTTCCATACCAGTTTCCCGGCTCCCTGACTCTTCTATTATTAGGAAAACCCCTTAGATGTGGCCTGGTCACCGACTACAGTGACATAAATGTACCCACGTGCAGGGCCTCCGTCACTACGCACAGGAAATTTAGCACTAGATGGTGCGTCGTGGGTCCGCCCACTGACAATAATGAAAAATAGCCATTTAACGCAGACTGACTGATGGAAGCAAGGGGCCATGGATGAGAAGAACAGAATCCACATTTGTAAACACAGGTGGCTGTCAGTGAAATGGAACAATACATTCATACCTCATTTTCTGACATCATCCCTGGAGTAAGCTGGGAACCGGTCCCTAAGGAAATGACCAGCACTTCCTCCGGCTGCACCTCCTGGATGGTTTCTTGAGATGACCCTTCGTGGTCCATATGCAAGTCCATTAGCACATTGGTGCGGCTTCTGCTCCGGGTTGCTAATAAAGAAAGTTAAATTTGCCAATTTAGAGGAAAAGATAAAATGAAGAAAATGGCACACTAAATACAAAAATATTTTTATGAATGTAGAACATTTGCACATGCACACACAGAAAAGGAATGGTGAAGATATGTGTAAGAAAAAAAAACCCTGTATCTTCCCAGTTACTCTGTTGATGACTAATACATATTCTCCTTGAAAACTGATCATCAGAAACAATGGCCCATGTTCACCTGACAGGGAGTGACATACAGATGACCACACCTGCGGAACAGCAAACATGTCCCCATCAATTGAAGACTTGGGATGACAAGAAAAGCATTACATACCTTATTTCTTATCTGTTCAAGACACTTTCAATTATTTCACCTATAAAATGATTTAACTGCCACAGGTCTCCCATACTAATAACTCAAAAGCATTAGAAAATTTCATATAGAAATCTGGTAGCCATATAAAGTAATGTACATTAATAATTAATTAGGTAACTATTGAAAAACCAGAATCCATTTTTGAAAAGAGTGTTTTCCTGAAATATATTAACCTCTTTCCAAAGACAGAGGAGCGATTCCTCTATGTTTGAAAACAAGTTTCCTTTCTGCTTCCTGGAAACATTCTAAATAAATACAGAATCTAGTATTTGGGGGTGTTTTCCCCTACCTGATACTTTTTCCTAAAATAAGCCATCCTATAGATCTTACAAGAACTTCAGAAAGATTTGGGTAGTTGATAATAATCTCTCTGTGAACTGTAGTCTTCTGTGGTTTCTATTTTCTTTCAGAGGTCAACCAAGTTCAATGCAACCAGAATACTAACTAGAAAGTCTACTGCAGTGCAAAATAATAAAAAGTAGAGACATAAAGCAAAGCACTTTTTAGTAACAAGTCTTTCAACTTCACTTTGAGTGAAAGCTGACCTCCTTAAAGACAGAAATATAGACAATCGTCTTCTCTCCACAATGCTGTAGCTGTGTTGATTAATCACTCTTACTTTCAAAACTTTAGGGCACACGTCAACTTCCAAAAGTCAGGTTCACCTCACTTTCTTCTACTGAATTGTGAACTTAAATTCAGCTTCATGAACTTCATGAATTTTAAGTAACAAATCTCCTAATTTATAAAAACGCAAATGACCAAAATTCATGGAACACAAAGCAAAAGCAACATGCACGTGGAGCACACTTTCATAAATTTTTTCTTAAATAAAAGTTACACAAGAAGAGTAAGAACAGCCTATTACCCACCAAACGGGGTTACTAGAGTAATATGAGCTGTAAGGTTGGTGGCTGAGGAATCCCAGGCAGTGATGGCTGCTAACTGTTGTCCTGGGTTGCGAAAGCGTTAAACAGAAAGAAAATCAACCCTCTGAATAATGGACACATTTTTTTAAATAGGAAAAAAATTCAATGACCAAGTCACATGACTATACAAAATACGACTGAAAAAACTGAGATTTACTTTCCATTCTACCCATAGTTAATAATACTTCTGGAAGTTTTGAAGTGGAAGAACTAATGTATGGCAGTGAATATGGAGAGAAAATACCTAATATACCAAAAATCACTCATTTCTTCACTCATGCTAAAAGAGTAAAAATAGCCTATAACGTTAAAAATCATTGAATGTCAAACTTTTTTTTTCTATTTTTAATTCTGAAAATGTACATTTTGGAACGATGAAAGCCAAACACTGAAGAAAATGATGTCACATTCCTGTGGATGATATTATTCCATATTATATTAAATGTAAGGTAGATTAATTTTAAGAAACTGATAGTTAACATATCAGCTCATTCTTCCAAATGTGTAAACTTTAGTAACTATAGCCGAGCTCCTCATTATCATGAAAAAAAAAAATGGTGGTGAACTACTGCATGCCCTTGGCCTAAACACTCTTTCCCAGTCTTGTCTACTCTGTGGAACACCCTTTGGTCCTTCAAGAGAGAGTGCAGGCTTCACCCGCTCCAGGGTCCCCTTCTCGAGGCGTCTGGTAGTCCTCTGTGCTCATCTCCATCAAACACAGTACACGGAAGGGCAATGTCTCTTTCTCTTTTCCCCAGCGAGACTAGGGCGGCTAAGTTAGAGTATGGACAGGTCCTAAGGCCTTTATATCCCCAGTGTCTAACACAGTGCCCTACCTGCAGGACAGTGATTGTAATACCTACTCTTTTAGTGTGCACTTTTGCATGGAGATTAAATGAAACACATTTATAAAGTGCTTACCCAGTGTCTGGTACCCAATATATGCTCAATTAAATTTCTGGTGCATAGCTAGATAATAGATATTTACATAGTGAATAAAATGTAAGCCTAATTTTTAAATAAAGGAATAAACAACTAAATAAAATGGGATTTTTACTTTATTTTATTAAAAAATAAAAGATTGCTCAACTGATAAAAAACTTATTACTTTTTAAATATGTTTTTATTGATTTCAGAGAGGAAGGGAGAGGGAGAGAGAGAGAATCATTGATCGGCTGGCTCCTATATGCGCCCTACACGTGCCCTTGACCAGAATTGAAGCCAGGACCCTTTAATCCTCAGGCCAATGCTCTATCCACTGAGCCAAACCAGCTAGGGCAATACTGATTATTAATAACAATAATGAAAAAAAAAATAGTACTTATGTAATTTCAATGTTACTGATAGAAACTTCTAATATTATTTTATTATATTATTCAGAACTTTATAGAAAGGATGGGGCTACATAATTTAAATAATGACTGGTTCTAACAACTGACACTTCCACAATTTTCCAAGACAAGATACTAAAATACAAAGTATACCATACGTGGCATGATTTCAATTAATTATGAAAAGTACATCTAGATAAAGCAAAAGCCAACTGCTAAACCTTAATTATTCTAGTGTAATTGTAAAAAACTGAGTTACTATCAGAAAACATGGAGAAAGATGTTTCCAAATTATCTAAAACTGTATTTCGAAGCACTGAGCAATAACGAAGGCTAACAAAGAAGTTATTAAATTTAAGGCAAAGCCCAATATGAGAACGTATCTTTACCTATAGGCAATCGATTCTTTTTATTTGCTGGAGTGGTTGCCGGAGACAACTGAGGAGTATTGTAGGGAGTCATTTCCAAACTGCTGCTTTTCCCTGGCTTTGCCTGGGGCAGGTTTGCCAATAAATTGTCAAGAGCCATTCTATCTTCTCTCAGTTGGTCTCCAGACATCACACTCTTCATAAAGTTCACCTGGCAAAAATAAAAGGACAATAGCGACTGAAATCAATATTTCATACACAATATATATTTCTGACACAATGTACTCATGTATGACTCTGCCCATGCTTAGATAAATGACTTCTGAGAAAAGCCTATTCAAGAATAAAGCCATTACCAGAGTAATGAGCTGACTGTAGGTTATATAAACCACAGTTCTGCTCAATCCTTCCAGAAGATTCACAGAGGACATTGGCGGGGTTTCCACAGCACGGCCCCCAATCACAATATCGAGGAAAGCAGCAACACAGCTCTGTTAAAATAGGAGAAGACCACAGTGAAAGACCTCCCCTTTAAAATAAGGAAACAGATTTCTGATTAAGGTGAACAAGCGTGCAAAAAATTTTTCTTCTTAAAAATAATATCAAATCTAACATTTAAACAATTAAATTCCCTAAGAATTGATACAGAATAATCTCCAAGATACTCTGGTACAAGAAACAAACATGATACAGAAGAACACACACTATCTTGCCATTTGTGAAAGGAAAGATGGGGGACTGGGAAAATATATGAAGGAATTTGCTGGCATACATACAGAACTTTTGAAGCATACACAAGACTTGTCACTTTCCTTGTGGGGAGGAAATTAAGGCTAGTGATTAAAGGTAGAAGGGATATTTCACTGTATAACTTTTGAATTTTATAATAGGCTGAATGTAACCTACTCAAATATGATTAAAATTTTATTTAAATTGAACAATACCATAAATATTAATTTGTGAAATACACTTAGAATTATAGTTATTGATTAAGTAACAATTTTTAAAAATTAAATTTCCTAAAATAAAATAATCTTTTTTTTTTTTTTTAATTTATATTGATTTCAGAGAGGGAGAGAGAAACAACAATGATGAGAGAGAATCATTGATTGGCTGCCTCCTGCAAACCCCCTACTGGGAATTAAGCCCACAATCCGGGTATGTACCGTTGGCCAGAATCAAACCCGAGACCTTTCAGTCTGCAGGCCTACGCTCTATCCACTGAGCCAAACTGACTAGGGCAAGAAATAAAATAATCTCAATAACTCCTCGGCTCTCATTACAATGGCATCTCCTTGACACTTCTATGAGAGAGAATTAGTCGTCTTTAGTGATATTTTCCATTAAGTGCTGCTGATCCAACATTATGACACACCAAGAGTCAATGAAAGACTAATTTATACAACACCTAAGGACGAGGTTTAAGAAAGGGAAAAGTTAGGCTTGCTAATACTTTGGCAGAATTTTCTACAAACAGTATTTCACGTGACATAGTATTCATTCTTACTTTGTCAAATTTTCCGAGACTGCCCTTGGTCCGGGGATCCCCCTCTTCCGAGCCAGTCATTGCTAACTGCTGCAGCAGGCGGCCGACCTGCAACCCAAAGCAGCAGAGGGGAGACACAGGTTATAGACACAAAGTCCTCTCTCTGTGAAAGCACTTCCGCTCTATGCTGGTGCAGAATAATGCTCATACCACGCAACCAGACAGAACAGGGTCCCACCTGTGCATCCTGTTAGCACCAGGTTTTACTATATTTAGAGTTATACAGAATAAGTAGAGGATCTTGCTTTAATTTTTCGTTAACATATTATATCGACATTAGGAAATAAAAACACAACATCTTTGTTTCCGATGGTGTACTTTTCATATGCTCAGAAACTTTAAGAAATTATTTTGTAAGAGTTGATTCAAACTATTTCAAGTTACTTTATTCTACGTAGTTCATAAAGTACTCCAGGTAGATATTTTGTTTTCTAAATTTAAACACAAACAATTTCTACAAAACACAGGCTGTTTGGAAAGTAAACTTCACAGAGCAAGTTCCTTATTGCCAAAAGTGAACTGTTAACCCACTCTCTTTAAAGACACGTTGCTGAAAGTTAACATCATATAGCATTATCACCTTAATATCTAGGACAATCTCCCCATTATTACTCATTTTGAAAATATTTGATTCCCTCTGTTAGAATGACAAAAATAAAAACTACAACTACATTAGCATAAGAATAAATTTAGTATTTCACAGATGAAAATAAGTTTTTAATTTTACTTCAGGGATTTTTATATAGTTAATTGTTCAATATCATGATATGACAAACTAATCATAAAAAAACACACAAAAACTTATTTAAAAACACACACCACTCATCCAAAGATAGATTCTATTTCAAATAAACTCAGTCTTTTTTCTTCACAGTATTTCTGAGTGATAAGACATGATTAAGAGATTTGCTTAAGAAATAATAGCAGATAATTAGGGGGGGAAGTGTTAATACGAATCCAAAAATCCTCTTTCTGAGTTTCATATTTAAAACTTTGGAGACTTTAGAAAGGTTGGTTAGTACACATATGTAGCATGTCCAGTTTTTAGGATAGCATCCTATAATCAAACATATTAACATTTCAACAGAAAAACATGAGTATTCATTAGCACTAAGTGGAATAACAAACAATTATAAATAGCCTGTTAGTTCAGGCTGGATTTTGCTAGCAAATGAAGTAAAAAGGTTCATTTTTCAAACATTCTGGATTTTGAATTCATGGGAAGTGGACAAAGGGCTTGCTCTAGAAAAATGCAATCATTCACGTGAATGAGGACTCCAGTTAAAATCTAACACGAAATGTTTTATGACAAGAATATTTTTAAATCCCAATGTGACTGCCTGTATGTCTTAAGAAGCAAATATTTAGGACAGTCTAAAGAAAAGAGACTGGTAGGAACCTATGAATGATAGCTGTCATCACATTTTCGGTTCCCACCCCCACTGCCTCATCAATTGATCTTAAATTGAATGCCATATTAATAATAACAAAGCGTACCTGCATCAGATTGAATCTTGCCACCTCATTAATAGGAGCATCGGAAATGATTCCATACTGTTCCGGATTGACAACTGCAGGGCAAATGAAGCAAGCCAACAGGAGGTCAGTGCACATGGCCCTGACCTCCCCAACTTCCAGTCTGTCTACACAGGAGAGAGTTTTGTACATCTGTGACACGATCCACCTCAGACTGTGTGGAAAGCAGTATGTGTTCTGTTTGAGATAACCGATAAACTTGTTCACCAAAGTCACCAGTTTGGCCTCATTGGAATCCACCATCTCTTGGACCTTCTGCTTGAATCGATCTGAGCCTTTCTCTCCGAAGAGTTTTTCCTGTTGAGATGGGGAGAATCTCTCGATGAGTTTATTTGGATCTGTTTCCAGATGATCTTCATCTTCCACAAGCAGCTGCATGATTGGCTCATGTAAAGTAGCCGTGAGGAAAAGTTTGGCAGAAAACAGTCCTTCAGAAAAAAGTTTAAATAAGATGCTGAAGGCACAAGTTCCTCTCCTCAAGAGTCGCCTGGGGTTGTCACTTTCTTTAAGTTCAAATTCAATCAAGTATCTCAAAACCTGAAGGAGGTAGCTTTCATCTTCTTGCATAATGCAGTTGCCGTAGAGGGAGGTAAAAACTGTGTATATAACACTCTGTGTGTTCTCCTGACTGAGTTTCTCTCCAGCAACCAGAGAGGAGGCAATGAGACGAGGATTTTCCCTTAATCGACTCAAGAATTCTCCATAAGCAGTCTCCTGGAATCCCAATTGCTTATATCCATCAACAAACTGCGTATCTTCCAAAATCTTGGCATGTTGGCAACATTCAGCAGGGGAAGCTTCAGCACTAAAAAATGAGCAGACAAGCAAAACAAAAATTAACAACAATAATATCACACATATACTATATGAAACATGGAATGTGAGTTGATTACAGTTCCAACGAAATCACTCATTGTTAAAATCTTTCAGACCATCAGCACCTGAATGTGGAAGGAAGGAAGGAAGGAAGGAAGGAAGGAAGGAAGGAAGGAAGGAAGGAAGGAAGGAAGGAAGGAAGGAAGGAAGGAGGAAAGGAGGAAGAGAGGGAGGGAGGGAGGGAGGAGGGAACAACAGAACATGAGGTATTAACACAGTGAAAAACAAGGTTTCTAAAACTGAAAAGCAGATATACAATAGCAAAACATGGAAATTTACATATTAAATTATGTTAGAGGAAAAGTAGAACAAAGATCACTTACTGTCTACACTGATAAAATGTAAATGTATAAAGATACAAAATTAATTGGTGTGGTATAAAATACAAATACTTAAGTTATAATTCTCCATAACAGTGTTAAGTGATTTAAAATAAACAAAATAAGCAGACTCACCTTAATGTTGACTTAAACTATCTTAAAGCAAGCACTTTGTTGGAAATAGATTCATTTATTTATAGTTAGCAGTTAACACAGAACCATAATTGTTTACAAAAGACCTCAAAATCTTCTATTTACCTGGTTATGATAAGTCGATCCAAATTAATCCTCTGTTGCTTAGCAATCCATGCTGTACGATACAGCTTTTCAGCTGTCTTAAGCACATCTGCATTGAGCCTCTGAATGAGTTGTTTCTCAGAGTTCACATATAAGCGTTCCTGCTTGAGATGATGGGCCAGAGTATGAATGTCTAACTTCACCATCTTCAAATGTGGAAAAGGTACAAAGGCTGATCACTGAAACTAAAAAGACAAATTTTAAAATGTCATGTTAGTAAAACTGTTTACCAAATCAAAAGGGATAGAATATATTAAGAATTAAGCTACAAGCCCTGGCTGGTGTGGCTCAGTTGGTTGGGTGTCATCCTGTGCACCGAAAGGTTGCTGGTTTGAATCCTGATCAGGACATTGCCTGGGTTTCAGGCTTGATGACCGGTAAGGGTGTGTGTGTGTGTGTGTGTGTGTGTGTGTGTGTGTGTGTGCAGGAGGCAGCTGATCTAAATTCCACTCTTACATCAATGTTTCTCTCTCTCCCTCACCCTTACTCTAAAAATCAATGAAAAAATCTTAAAAAGAATTAAGCTATATTTAGTAGCATGGTTAACTCTAATTTTAAAGTAATCCCTATGTTTATTTTATTACAGAATAGCCACTGCAAAAACCTTGTGTATATCCTTCAAGTCCAGTGTCTACTTACTGACACTGCAGTTTTCTTGACAGCTCTTTCACGCTGCAGTCAATCACTGTATTCTGTTGACTCCAAAATACGTCTCAAATTTGACTACTTCTCACCACTCCATCATCGCTCACCTGAAGCTCCATAACCACTACTTCCTCACTGATCTCCTGCTTCCTTTCTTACTGGAGTCTGTTCTCTCCATGGCGTAGATCACTCTATTCCCCTCCTAGAAAGCCCTCGAAGCCTCAGCATTTGCTGATCCCTCTGTCTGGAAGGCTATTCCTCCTGCTGTCTTTGCAAGGTTACTGATCAGGCCTTTACTTCATGTGGGCCTCTCTGCTCACATGTCTCTTTAAGAAGGCCTTCTCAAAGAACTCTTTCTAAACTGGAAAATACCACTTCCTATGCCTTCTCCTGGCTTTCTCTAAAGCACTGGCCCCTATCCAGGATTCTATCACAGATACCCACTTGCAGGCTCCTCAAGCTTAGAGCATGGCTCCCCCACCAGAAGGTAGGGCCACCAGAGCCAAAGCTTGTCCGTTTTGTTCACTCAGCTGTAATTTCAGGGCTGAGGAGAGGGCCTGATACAGCAGGATTTGAATAAATATTTGCCAAAGGAATGAATGCCATCACACGATTCTTGTTTACCTAGTAGCTAAAATAGCACACATATTTTAAAGCATTATTATTTAAGCTATGCCCTTAAATCTAGAATGCCTGCCAGACCACAAATGCTTTATATCAACAGTAGAAGTGCCTGTGGCCCAGGGAGCAGAATACAATGCCGTGTCCAGACTGCAGGCAGTCATTAAGTTAGAGAAACTCTTCTCATTAAGAATTAAGCACGATGATTGTATACTCGTAAGTTGCTATGAGAATAAAGCTTTAATGTTCTCACCACAACAACACAACAAGAAAATGATATTATGTGAGGTGAATGATGTGTTGACTAAACCTTACTATGGTCAACATTTTACAATACATACTTGTATCACATTAAATGCCTTAAATATACATTATATTTCAATTACATCTCAATAAAGATGGGGGGAAAGTGGTTCCAGCCAGTCAGATTCTTAAGTGCCCTTAATGGACCTATTTGGAACTGATAAAATACAACTTGTAGTGAATTTAGATTTGAAAAGAGAAGACAACCTAGACCACAGAACTTCCAATGTGTTTAGAGATTCAATGAAAACGTATCCATATATATAAAATATTTTGGTGCTAAGACAAAAATTTAAAACATTATGGCACCAGCTGAAATTATATGTAAAACCACCTTATTTAAAGAAATAAATTTAACAACTTTTGATTATGTTTGGCTTCAGAAAATGTTTTACTTTCTTTTATTTTAATGAACTACTGATGACTTGGAAAATTTCAGATATTACCATCTAATCTGAATTTAATTGCTTTCAAAAAGTACTTTCTTGTACCTTATCAATTCCCTAGTAAACAATGCAAAGATGTTATTCCAACTCTTCTATATGGTTAAAGCCCCCTACTACTTTCCTCTCAAAAGATATAAGTATGCCCACTTCACCAACACAATTCACTATTAGTCACAAGGACATCTGTGTACATTCCAAAAATTGGTGACATGCATACATACACATATATAACCTCACTAACTCAGTCCACAGAAAATGCATAGGACTTTGTAGACTTCCTTGTGGGAACTCTAAGATCCTCTAGGGGGCTCTAAGTCCATAGACTAAGCACAGAATCACTCATCAAATGGCTGTAATTATTTGAGAAGTATAGTTAATGAAAGCAGCACTGAAATGGGCCCTTAAAGATCTGAATGCTCATTAATTAGTTCTGCTACATTGGGTGCAAATTGCATATTCTCTGAATCTCAATTTTTTTTCATCCACAAAACATGGACATGATATCTACATTTGTTTTGTGCCTGATACAAGCAACAAACTGTATTAGATACTAGGAATCAAAAAAAGGATAAAAACTACTGTGTGCCTTCAAGGTCTTTTTAATCTACTAGACTGAGACAGACATGCAGTAAATGGCTGCCCGAAAATGGTATGAGTATGATGCTACTACTGTGTTTCCCCGAAAATAAGACATCCTCCGAAAATAAGACCTAGCACATGGAAAGATAAGACATCCCCTGAAAATAAGACCTAGTGCAACTTTGGGAGAAAAAATTAATATAAGACACTGTCTTATTTTCGGGGAAACAGGGTACTTACAGACTACTACTACTTATAAGACTAGAATGTAGAGTAGGGACAAGAGAGAAGGAACAACTGAGGAGTTAACTACCTACAACTAGTCTTAAAAGTCAAGTTCTGCCAGCCATAAAGAGGATGGTAGGTGGGGGTAGAATTCCAAACAGAGGAAGCCAAATAGCAAAAGCACAGAGGTATGTAACACAGAATATATTTAGAGAACAACGTGGGGCACACTACTTTGGGGACACATGTGTTTGTGTGTGTTAAGAGTGAGGTGGGAGAAGGGGAGGAAGTGTATCATGAGAGATAAGCTACAGAGACAGAAGATACACAGAAGCTAGAATTAAGAGGTTTGGACTTGGCACTGTAGGTGCTGGGAAAAGAGTTTTAAATGGAATTAATACGATTAAATGTGTAGCTGAGAACATAAACTCTGGCAGTAAGGAAAAGGAGGAAAAGCCCTGGCTAGGTAGTTCAACTGGTTAGAACACTGTCCCAATACGCCAAGGCTGCAGATTCAAACCCTGGTCAGAGCACATACAAGAATCAACCAATGAATGCATAATAAGTGGGACAACAAATTGAAGCTTCTCTTTCTCTCTCAAAATAAAAAAAGAAAAGGAAGAGGAGGTGGCGATGAGTCTGGGGACATGGAACTAGATGAAGACAGATTAAGAAATTGTTGATACACAAGAACTTTTGCAGTAGCAATGGAAAGAACAGGACAAAATTGGGAGGTGTTAGGAGATAGAAATTATGAGATTTGTCGACACCTACATATGGGGAAGGTGAGGCAGAAGTTTCCCACTCTGGAAACAATGGTAGGTGTGGTGTTCTTCACCTCAATTGAGAATTTATATGAGAAAACGCTTTATAAACTGAAAACGGTTCTAAGAATTTCACACAACCTTTATAATATCCCTCCTGAGATAGGTACTTGCAGCTTAGGAAACTGAGGTCAGAAATATCAAATAACTTGTGCAGGGTCACACAGAGGTGACAGAGTTAGTATACTTTACCCTGATCTCTGTAAGAATGACTCAGAAATCCTGTGGTTAAACAGGAAAAGATCTTATTTTTAGGAGATGCACACACAAGTATGAGGAAGTGTTATCATTTCTGCAATTTCTTGTACATGGTTCAGAAAAAAATATCAAAAGTAAAACTTAAACAACTGTTGAATCTGGGTGGTGGGTATATGGTGATCACTGTGCTATTCTTTAGCAGTTTCTGTGTATCCGAAATTTTCCATAATGAGAAACCAGGAATACAATTTAATTCAACAAGAAACATGATTGAGTTTTTGCTGGCACCTCGCCAGGTCCCCTACTCTCAAGGAGCTCACAGTCTAATTACAACCAAAATACTGTTCGAGAAGAGAGGACACATCAAAGGTTTCCAATGCTCAGCAAAACATGAACTGATTTATGCAATTCAGAAATTAAAACCTTCAAATGTTGCTGCAGTTAAAAAAGTAACACTTGAAAGTTCCACCTAATCTAAACCAGAACTCACCTTCCAAACCTTTCAATAGCCTCAATATCTTCAAAGACATTTTTGTAGAGACTTATAAAAAAAAAAAAATGGAATGCTTCACGAATTTGTGCAGGGGCCATGCTAATCTTCTCTGTATTGTTCCAATTTTAGTCTATGTGCTGCCGAAGCGAGCACTGTCCAGACAAATTTGCTAAAGACTTTTTCTTTAATCAAGTCCAAAAATTATAAGCTTTATTGCTTTTCTTTCTATAAGCAGGTCAGAATGCTGTCAAATAACAGGTAGTGGCCTACCCTCCAAAACAATAATTAAAAAAAAAAGTTTTCATTGATTTTTATTTTTTTAGAGAGAGAAGAAGGCAAAAGGAGAGAGAAACGTGGACATGAGAGAGAAACATCGATTGGCTGCTTCCTTCAAGCCCCCTACCTCCCAGGAATGTCCCTTAACCAGAAATCAAACCACAACCTCCTGGTGCACGGGACAATATCCAGCCCTCTGAGCCACACTGGTCAGGGCTCCTTAGTCACAGGAATCCAGATAATTGAAAAGAATTTCCTAATGTGTTTCTCTGCTTAATTCTTTTCGCTTAAATCTATCCTATGCTGACAGGTTAGTATTTTCAAAGCACTTTGATAAAAACCTTCCCAACCCCTCCCAAATGCTGGACTATACTAAGTCATCTGCAGAAGTCAGATGTGCTCCAATTAAGAAGCCTGTGTGCTCCAATTAAGATCACTCCTTGATGAATTCTCCAGGCTTCCAACAGCAGGATTCAAAAATGGAAACCCCAGAAAACTTTGCATGTATTTGGCAAGATCTCTCTCCCTTCCATCGA